CAAGGAAATGGGGCAGCTGCCATTTCTTGAGCCGCCATTTTTTCGTTGTGGTGTGTGTTGTTCATCAGAATCCCCCTCAATTTATAGAGGGGAAGTGCACCCATTTTTCAACATTGGTGCACTAAAAAATCAACCGAATGCTGCTGCAAATTTGAACAAATTGTGGCTGCCTTTTTTTTTATTCTTTTTGTGTGCTGTCAAGGAAATGGGGCAGCTGCTATTTCTTGAGCCGCCATTTTTTACTCAACAATTGGCTTGGAATCAACCATAAATAATTATTTCATCTTACCTTATAAATCTATCTTTCATTACCGTAAATTTATTGCCTCCCATAAATTTGTTATTAATCAATATCCTATAAATCTCTCTTCCATTTACATAAATTTATTGTCTCACATAAATTTAATATTAATCAATATTAATACGACTGGGGCTGAAAATAATTTTTCTCTTACATATACAAAATGACAGTCTGTCTTATGTATACAAAATGAAATTTAAGTTTATTAATCAAAATGAATTCTATACATGAAATTTAATTCTCGGGTATGGCAAATCCATTTGTTGGACAAAATGAAATTGTATACAGAATGAAAATTAAGTTTACAGTACAGAGTGAATTGTATATATTTTATTAATCTATATATTGTGTTCTATTTGTTAGACATATCTCTATGTGTCTTTGACAAAGCTTTCTATTGAAATGAATTATTTATTTACTGCCATAAATAATTTTATTCACACATCTCAATATTTTTATATTACCATATATAAAATGAATCATTTATACCATTCTTTTTTATTTGAGTGGATAAGAAGATTATACATCATAAAAAATAATGGCAAAAACATTCAAAAAATTAAAATAAAATTGTTATTTTTATCTTTAAATATTTTGATGTAAATATTTCTTAATTCAATACCCGTGTTGTACTAGTAAAGTTTAAATTAATTTGAACTTGAATGATATACTTGTTTAAAATTTTGAATTACTAATGGATATGGACATAATTAGTTGACTTATTTCATTTGAATACTCAATTTATTTATCATTTAACTTATAGTTATTTATAATATTTATGATACATTTAAAAATATAAAAATATATTTGAACGTGATTTTAATATTTACTTTTTATAACTATGCATTATTGTATTATAAAATATAATAATTTGTATTTGAAAATAAAAGGTTATGACAACAATATTTGAATAAGTGAAAACATGTAGAGATATTTGATTTAATTTGTTATCTTCACGCAAGAGGTGAAATATCAAGTGATTGTGGACTGTTTTTTAATCAAACGAAAGTTTATTTGTACTCGTATAGAAGAAATAGTGAAATACACAGACAAAAAATCTACAAACATGAAACGGATAAAAAGCCCAAGATAGTATATGAAAAATAGATGAAAATGAGACCTACGCAAAACAATGTCAAAGGCCGAAGAATAAATCGGTGGGCGATCAGAGACTTGCGACTTGTTTCTAATCTTTTAATTAAGTAGAAAACAAAGTGCCCGAATGGAGCATTAATGAAAATATGCAAATTAAGTAGAAATTGCATTAATAATTATCATGAAGATTACAATTATTCTAACTATTCTAATCTAACAANTAAAAAAAAAAAAAAAAAAAGGTGAAAACTCACACTTTTATGTGACAATTCCGTGTAACATTCTTGAAAAAGAGCCCGAACCTCTATCGGTACAGAGAATGAAGAAAAATGGAAGAATATTTGCATATGTGGTAATCGTTGTTTAATTAGAGCAAATATTGGTCAAGATTTATTTGATCAGATATTTAATTATAGAAAACATTACCAGGCTAGAATTGGGAGAAAATTTTGGAAAGAAATAATAACTAAATGATTAATAAAAGAAATCTTATATTATTTTTGGTAATGTACAAACCTAGTTGTCAAAATTGATTTGGCATCTGAGCCTGCATATGTAACAATACTGCATATGTAACAATACGAAGCATATATTTTCGCTAACAGCACCCACAATGCATTAAGTCTCTTAATAAAATATCATATGCCACATATAAAATAGACTTAGTTTATTAAAAAATGTTTCCCAGTGCAATTAAAAGTGGACATGGTCTAGCTTATGTGGTAATAAATAAAAAAGATCAGTCTACACTTAGGTCTATTTTAGACCCAAGTACAAACTCAAACACTCATCATTTATTCTTAATTTAAATTTTCTTTTAATAAAAGAAACATATTAGAACATTTTTATTGGTTGACATGTATTCTAGACCTTGTATTTTTATTTTTGCATTGAATAGCTTTTGAATTTTTTTACTTGAGTTTGTCCATGTCATTTAGGACTTAAGTCTATTTATATGCCACATATATAAAATTAGACCCAATGCATTGTGGGTGCTCTAAGTATGCATACGAAACATGCGAGCATACCTCTTAGGCTCAATACATTTTGAAATTATATATATAAAAGGGATTATATTGTACTTCACTAGCATCTAAACGACACCAATACCAAGCTCAACGTATAGTATAGCTGGATGTAGGATAATAGTAAATAATATGAGAAAACGCCTAGTTTTATGTATCATATATTTTATTTATATTATATATTGTCTTTTAGTTATTAGTTTATTCAAGTTGTGCAAAATTATTTTTATTTATTTTGCATTGGTTAACCTAACATAAAGTTTAAATATAAGTAAGAAATTTAAAATTTACTATTCATGCAATCGGATGGCTCCCTTATGGTCATCCATAACTTTATGTACTGACACGTGTCCAATGTTTATTTATTGCAGGACACATGTCAATACATAATTTGTAAATAATTATGGATGACTTTATAAGTTGAGCCCTCCGATTACTCCATAGCAAAACCGATATATTGAAATATAATTATATTTTTGAAGTGATATGAGAGAACAATTTTTTTATTGTGAAAATTAAATGTAATAATTTCTTAAATACAAAATATACATTTAAAGTTTTAAAAATATGGATAAATTAAATTCATGCACTTATACTTTTCTAACTTAATAATGTTAACAGTTGATTGTCATTAGATAGTCTCCAACTTTTCATCAGTCTATTAAAGTTTATTTATGCGGACTGGTTTAAGGACATCAACTAGTTTTCACTTTAAACATATAAAAAGTCAATAAAATTAAAAGTCAATATCATTCTTGATTAAGTGAAACTTAACGGTTACCATCACGGTCTTAGGAATACATATATATTTTTTAATGCTAAGAAATATTTTTGAAAATAAAAACAGACAAATAGCAATATAAACAAATCTTGTACTTCTCACACATTTATATACTAAATTTTGTCGTTCAACCTTTTAAAAGTTTGTGCACTTTATTCAATGTTCACCAAAATCCGCTTTAGAGCAGCCACATTGGTTAGAAGATATCCGATGTGGTTTTCAATATTATAAAAAGTCATTTATATCATTAATTTTTGAAAGTGTGTTACTAATTTATTATCTAAAATATCTTGTCATTAACTCTTTCATGATGAGATGGATGTATTTATGTTGACAATCTTAAGCTCACTTTTTAATATTTAATACTATTATATGCTAAACATGATGACTCATCAAGTCACTTTATATTTAATTTAATTTTTTGTTGTTCTTGTATCAATGAATTATTTTTATTGGTCCACCTCTACAAATAACTTCTTATCAAATTGATGCATTTAAAATACTAATTTGATTCAAATTTTAATTTTGTAACATAATTTCTAAATGAATTAACATTACAATCATTAATTAACATGTGTTAAAGCATTGGACATGGAGCCATTTAAATGAGTGGGGTTTCATTTAAGCCAATGTATGTGATTTAGTTAAATGCAAAATGCTGGGACCCACTTCTGTCACTCAAGCTCTTTAATGGTGTTAAGCCATTTTTTATATAGGGACAAATTATATAAAAGAATATCCATGTCTTAAAAAAAATAAAAGTAATATTAAATGTATGTGTAATGGATCCTATATATATATATATATTTATTTAAATGTATCAATTATTGCGAGTTCGTGTTCAAATGAGTAAATTTTAGTAGAATAATGATGTGAAAATGAAGTGGATGAAAAAAAGAATGCTTTTTTTTTAAATGATGAAAGTAGGTGAAAAAGAGAATACTTTTGTGTTTAAATGATGACAGATGTTCTAGTAAAACTACTCAGATTTTTCCACCAATTGCCCACCACAACAAACCTTAAAACCAATTGTTCATTCCCACAACATAGGCAAAATAGTGCTTGATAAGAACAAAACTATGGTGAAAATTCTTGTATGACGGCTACTATTTAAACAAATATGTTGCATTAGACAATTATATTTTATGTTTTTTTAGATTACTTACATTTTCTAATGAAATCACATATATTTATAAAAATAATATGACGACTACTAATTCGACCGGACTAACACAAGAACAACCTATTGCTACTATAAATTAGCAAAGCAAAATAGAAAACCACGCTTGATTATAATCATAAATTTTCACCCAGCAACGAACACAAAGCCCCAACACCACCGATACAAACATTGAAATACGAAGAAATGCTAAACTCAAGGTTAATGACAACTGGTACTCATAGTCACCCCCACTAACGGATATACTAACTCCAGTTAAATCTCACGTTAGCCTATGGTCTACACCAAATCCTAGATCCCAAGACTTTTATGCGGAGTTAAATTCACGTGTTTTAAGCGTGGTTAGGCCGCTTCAAACGCCTCTTATATTATTCGACTTAAAAATACATATGTGCCCCCATGGGCCCCACCGTAAAATTTGGCATCTTATCTTGGACATTTAATCTACACTTGCCACTTTACGATATGTTTCTGATTTCTATGCGTCCATCCTTAAAAGTGGATGTGACTGTACAACGGACTGTCCGACTAGCCTAACGACTTTTTGAAATAAATTTTGTTTATTGATTGAATTTAAATTAATATTTTATTATTTTTATATCGGACATATATAAGCGTCCCGCGCTTAGATATGACCATAACAAATTGATTTGGGATATATGGCAAAATATTTTAACAGCTGTTTCAATAAAAAGCCCTGGTCTTTCTATTTGGTTTATGTTTTCCTACTTTCTCTCTACCGTCTGAGAATTGCTCTGCTAATCAGTTTCTCTCTTTTGAGACCGCTGTCTTCATGAGATCTTGACCGCAGAGCAACAATTAGGTGAGTTGTACTCTGAGATTTTCCCAATTTGATTGAAATTCACTGTTTCACTGATCTTTTAGCTGCTGTGTTCCGAGTAAAATAAAGAATGAAACTCATGGATTTACAGCGAATTAGATCAGAGTANAATCACTATCGGTTACTCATAATTTTTTTTTTATTTTTTTTTCTTTTCCGCAGGAAAGATGCAGTCAGAAGATGAATTAATTAAACTCATGCACAGCTGAAACCCTTTTTCTTTTATCCTTTTCTTTTGATTTCCAGAAAAATTATAAAATTATAAGTGAAAAATTACTATTGAGAACAAAAAAAAGGGGGGGATTTCTGAATTACCAGGCAATTTCCCAATTGGGATGGCGGCTAGAGGGGCACCTTCAGAGCTGAAAGACTTCCAGATTAGCTGCTCTTGGATCCCCACAGCCCCCGCTATGCCCAATTCAACCTCACAGCACCCGATCTGCAAAAATTGGCAACCCAACGAGCCAGCTCAGCCAAATTGGGCCGGGTCAGGCCAATTCAGTCAATTTGGCCCGGCTTCCCGAGCGAATTTGCATGAAGCTGGAAATTTATCAACAGATTACGCGCAAATGACACAATGCCAGACAACACAGTCGTGTTACATACCAATGGGTCAATGTACAGATCCGATTGGCAAAAGCAGATATCCTAGTAATTGGCCACCAGTTGCTGATTTTTCAGTGCTCGAGGAAAATCTGTCAAATTTCGACACCTGGCAGACCAGCGTGACGGCCAATTCTCATGTCTATGGAGATTGTTCACGAAAGCCTGAGTTGGTTGGGACAAAAGGCACGGACAAATTGGGCAGCATGTCTTTTCAGAAGCTCTTGGCCTTGGCTAATGCAGGAGGGAATAAAGCAGCCATTGAGAATGCACTTATGGAGAAGAATTGTGTTGGTGGGCAAATGGAGTTCGGCGCCCCAAGCAGCAGCTCGTGTGGACCCCGTTTTCCTACTCCAAACCAAGGGAATCAGAGTCAGTACAATACGTGCTATGAGAATTGTAAACCGCGTGGACCCGTCAAATTGCTTGGAGAAACATTTATTGGGGAACTGGCTTTTGCAAACAACCATCAAACAGGTAAAGTAGCACCACCTGTTTTTTGTTGATGTGTGAATAATTGTCTAGACATGCATATATGTTTGTGTGTGCTTGTGTATGCAATTTTAGAACATTGTGAACAAATGGCATTAATCATTGTCCCAGCCATTTTCAATAGGTCCCTGCACTATAATAATTATCGAGCAGGTTAGACAATAGAAACCAATTTGCATGTTACTGTTTTGAAATGGTATATTCAAAAGTGAAGAACATCGTAGTAATTTGTTTAGTGTTGTCATTTTCCACTTTACATTCTGAAAAAGAAAAGAAAGATGTCACATCAACTTTATGAAATTTGTAATTTCACCATTTCTCTACCACCCTCATAATAATATAAATCTAATCTGCAATCACATTCCAACAGGTGCAAGTTCAATCTCTTCCAGGCCCTCCTTCGATCTCAATTCAACACCGAGGATGGCTGATGCAGCCTATGGCAGGACTGTATCATTCCAGTTCGAGCCTACAACACCTCACAAAACCAATAAAGCTGAGTATCATCAGCAGAAACCTCCTGTGATAGATCTAACCATGGACGAAGAGCCCACAGTGAAAGATGCCCGAAACAAGGTGAAAATGTCGGAGTCTTCTGTGATAATTGACCAATCGTCCTCAGCCGTGTCGACCCTGTTGCAGGAGAACCACAAGCCTGACAAGGGCGGCGGCACAGATACAGCTGACTTGACCAAAACCCCCCAGCAGAAGCCGAGGAGGAAAAAGCACCGGCCAAAGGTCATAATCGAAGGTCAAAAGAAGAATACCCCGAAAAGCACAAAAAAGCCCACTGCTTCCCAAGATTCGACAACTGTCAGGAAGTACGTGCGTAGAAAAGGAGTTGCAAATCCCTTAAGCAGGGAAACTGATGTGGCCGGACTAAATGGAAAGGACTCAACTTCCCTGCAAGCTCCAACTGGAAAGAGAAAGTATGTGAGGAGAAAAGGAGTCACCAAACCCGAAGACGGTGTGGATAAGGAAACAACAAAAATAGAAGACTCGAAGGCCTCTCGAATCACCAGAAGCTCTTGCAGACGAACTCTGAATTTCAACTCGGACAGCCAGACTATAGCGGGAAGTTCCTTGCAGTATCCATCTTTAATCTCTGATAATGGGGAACCTCGAGTCGACAATCTCAATGCACCAGATCAATTGGCAACTTTGCAATGCGGACAAGGAATGACTAAGAAAGTTGATGTAACGAGTCATCGTGAACTCACACAATCTATGGATCGAGTGCAGGAAAATAACATGGTAGGAGGATATCATACTGAACCTACCAGAGGGAAATGTCAAATAATATTCTCAAATGTAACACATGATAAAGAGACAAACACCGTTCAAGCAACAGTGACTCACGACAGTCAAAGTGCACAAAGGAGCCCGAGTGGTTCCTTGTGCAGCAGCACATGCTTGGCCACAGAAAGACAGGTGAGAAGTCTGAAGAGGCAGACTGTGAGTGCAAGTGGAGAATCGGAAATTTCCAAGAGAAACGAGATGGGGAAATACAGCGATTTCATGCAGGCATACCTTCCTATATTTTCGCAAAATGTGGATAAGAATAATGCTCCTCCAGGATTACATTTCCCGATAATTTACAAAAAGAAGAGGACCGAGAAAGGATATTGTGTGGGAACGTCCAGCTCGCAGCTTGAATTACATACTCTAAGGGATTCTCGCGTAAATCAGATTGCATCAGTGGCTAATCAGGGATTGGCCTGTGGGCCATGTGGTATTGCTAATCTGCTGGGGACTAATCCTCCTGCAAATGATGCAATTCAGACAGGACGGAAAATTTACGAAGATCTCTTGGCTTTGGGGCCTACAGAGAGGATTAGGAAAAAGAGATCCAAGGGCTCAACTCGACTGCGGGATTTGGCCTCACTGCTGGAAATTTGTAGACAACTGCCACCATCTCCAAGCCAGGCGGCAGCAGCAGCACTACCATCCAGAATGAAACAAAAGGTAGAAATTCTACATGAACCACCGACATGTATGGAAGCCCTTGTGGCTGAGACCCGGACAGTAATGAAAACAAAGAAGCGTACAAAGAGAAGCCTGCTTGCAAATTCAACGGTGCAGAATTTCTACAACCAGCAAAAGTCTGCTGCCATACCAATGGGTATTGCTAATATAAATGAATTATCTGCTATCAATCAAAAAATAAACCTGAACATATTGGTTCCTTTGTTACTTACATGAACATTTAATGCAGGACCACCACTTGCTCTGACGTGGAGAACAATATCACCTGTTGATTCAATCATGGAGCAACTAAACCAGTTGGATCTAAATGCGACAAACGAAAAATCAGAAGAAAAGCGGAATGCATTTATTGCATATCACTCACATTACCAGGAGCAACGTGCCCTTGTTCCGTTTCAAAGAAGTGGGGCGCTCATCCCTTTTGATGGATCATTTGATGAGGTTAGAAGAAGGCGGCCACGTCCTAAAGTTAACCTTGATGATGAGACAACTAGAGTGTGGAAATTACTGTTAGAAAATATCAATAGTGAAGGCATTGACGGAACAGATGAGGAAAAGACGAAATGGTGGGAAGAGGAACGTAGAGTATTCAATGGAAGAGCAGAGTCATTTATCGCACGCATGCATCTTGTGCAAGGTACTAGCATTGTCATGAAATCATTAACATACATGTGTAAATAAATATACCTGAAACTGGGCAGCTTCGTGCCGTAGAATGTTGATAATTGTACATTATAACCAAGGCAAATCAAGAATAATGAACTATATGTATTACTGTTGGTAATTCAATTGAAATCATTGAAGTTGCTTGGATTAGAAAACCCAGCTAACGTAGCATGCTTCTGAAATGTTTAAATCAGAAGGCAATTCAGATGAAAATCACACAAAACATCACTTTATGTCCATTGATAATTACCATTATGCACCCACAAACTAAGTCAGATATTTACCAAATGAATGTTGATTCATTGTATTCCTGTTATAATAAGCCCTTTTTCAGACAGAAAGATAATAAGAAAAAGGTAAAATAAAGCAACCAATGTCAATAAGAGGAATAAACAAAGATCTTTCCCGTTCAATGCTTCGTATGCCAACTATTAGCAGAAACGAAATCAATTGTGGCAGAACATGTAAGTTATGGGCAAGGGCAACCAAAAACTGAACCTAGATTGAATATCAATAAACAAACTGTTGCGTACAACAATTGTCTCATGAAGCCATGCCTTACAGGTAGTAAGACTTCCTCCATTCTCACTTTTGTTTCCAAATCTAAACATGAAAAGGAATCAACATATTAATAGCATGTGCACTTGTCCTATTTTTCAAGCTTTGTAAACTCAAATATGTAGTAAATTCTCACAGGGGACAGACGCTTCTCACCATGGAAAGGATCAGTCGTTGACTCTGTAGTTGGTGTTTTTCTAACTCAGAATGTCTCAGATCATCTTTCCAGGTTAGTTGAACTTCTTTGTCTTTTATCTTACTTCATAAATGCATGTTTTCAAAACCTTATGAGCATCATGGAAAACTCCTTCAATAATACTCTCTTCACACTTGCAGCTCGGCCTTCATGTCGGTTGCTGCGAGATTCCCGCTCAAGTCACAAGCTGTATCTGTAGAATTACATGAAGAGAAACGAGGGACTGAACAGATCTGTGAGTTGGATCGTGATGGGTCAATTGGATTGGGCGATGACATTATAAGCAAATCCGTCTATGGTGATAGGCATCAAGTGTTCGAAGGTGATAGCACTAGAGAAGCGAACAGTGTCGATGAGTTTTTCCTAAAGGGAAAGTTAGAAGGCCAATCACCTGATACATCTAAACATGATACAGTTGTGTCCAGTGAAATTGCTGCAAATAAGTCAATAAGCTTGATTGAGGATGGAAAGGATGCAGAAGACGCAATTTCTTCTCAGAACTCTTCCAATTCCCCAACAGCACAAATGACTGAAAGAAGTGATACTTGCTTACTGAGCACCTCAGGAGAACCAAAAGCTTGCGTTGAGCCAAGTGGGTTTGACAGCTCTACTTCAGTCATAAAGCTTCTAGAGATGGCTGGCACTGTATTACATGAAAAATATGAAGAAGACGGTGAAAACATAAACTCTGATGTCAATCATCGGCATTGCCAATTGGGAAGTTTGGCTCTTGACTTGCAGAATGAAGCCCATTTGGACAAGCCTACGTACCCATCTGACACAATTTCACCGAGTAGTAAGTCTACTTTGAGTGATGTGCCCAATGCTGGATCACAATCAACAGTATCAGACTTATGTAAAGAAAATAGCCAGTTCTTCGACAGTTCTACCAACAGAGACATATGTTTTGGAGATATAAGTGAACGATCTTCAGAATCTGCATTTGGAACTGTATTTCAGAAGGTCGCAGATGTTTGTTCCAAAGGTGAAACAAAACTTTCAAGTACAAATGCTACTTCAGCTAACAATGACCGAGGTGTGATAAATCAGAAAACATTTGAGAATCAAAACGGTCAAGTACTACCACAGAGTTTGTGTGAGGAAATATATAATATGCAGGAGGTTCCAAAAGGTCCAATCTATCAACAAAATTTAACGGACATTACAGGTAGCAATAGCAACGCATATAATTTAAAATATCCAGAGCACATAGAAGTCAACTCAAATAAGAAGGATTCTGAAAATCATCGTGGCAAGACGGATGAAGGACCTAAAGAAAAGGGAGGAAGACCCAGAAAAGAAAAAGAGCCCAAGGTTAATTGGGATCACTTGAGAAAACAGGCAGATGCAGGTGGCAAAGTAAGAGCAAGAACAGCCAATACGATGGACTCGGTGGACTGGGATGCTGTAAGATGTGCAGATGTCAACGAGATTGCAGAGACCATCAAAGAAAGGGGAATGAACAATATGCTAGCAGAGAGAATTAAGGTTTCCATTTATTAGTTTCAGTAACAAGCCTGTATGTTTTCATTTTTAGACTCAACGCAAATTATATTTTATTTAGAAATCCAACTCATCGCCTAATCATTCTGCAGGACTTTCTCAACCGCCTTGTCAGAGATCATGGAAGCATCGATCTGGAGTGGCTTAGGGACGTTCCACCAGACAAAGCAAAGTGAGCTTGCAACTCTCACAACTAATATCTGTAAATTCAAAAGGATAATGCATCTAAATGTCCCTTTCATTTTTCAGAGAATATCTGTTGAGCTTTAGGGGTTTGGGTTTAAAAAGCGTAGAATGTGTCCGGCTTTTGACGCTGCATCACCTCGCGTTTCCGGTAAGTTTAAGCTTGCTGACAATGTGTTAATATGGAGAAGAAATTTACTGACAGTTGTATCTGCATTAAAAAGGTTGACACCAATGTCGGTCGTATAGCTGTACGACTAGGGTGGGTACCTCTTCAGCCGCTGCCCGAGTCACTTCAGCTACATTTACTAGAACTGTAAGTGTGTCACTGGCTCATATTTTTCCATAAACAATTGACATCAGATGGAGATTTACTTGTTTTGCTTCTTTTGTAGGTACCCAGTATTAGAGTCAATTCAGAAATATTTGTGGCCTAGACTCTGCAAACTTGATCAAAGAACACTGTAAGTAATCCTATATTAGTACAGATTTTTTATAATTAATTTACACTATAACCAAGGACTCCTGATGTGACTCACTCTCCTCTCTCTCTCTCTCTCTCTCTCTCTCTCTCTCTCTCTCTCTCTCTACAGGTATGAGCTGCATTATCAAATGATCACATTTGGAAAGGTATGGCATAATTTTCAGATGTTACTTTAAAACTCATGAAAACCAGCAAATCTCGTCTATCTTAGCAAAAATTCGATCTGTTGTCAGGTGTTTTGCACAAAGAGCAAACCAAATTGCAATGCATGTCCAATGAGGGGGGAATGCAGACATTTTGCCAGTGCATTTGCCAGGTTAGTAAATTTTTTTAAAGCTTGTTGTCACTAGTCATTGAACTAGAGAATCACTCTTTTGGTTATGCTTGTGTAATATCTGTCTATTATATCATATAGTGCTAACAAAGAACTATAACTATTTTTCTTTTTTCTGTACTTTTGAGGGTACATCAAAATATGTATAAAACCAAGACAATAGGACAAAGATCCCAGATCCACACAAGTACCATGAACTTAATCTTCATTTTAAAGTGATAGATGAGAAACATAAAATCAACCAACAGAAGTTATAACAATCAACAAATCTGAAACCCTTTGCAACTGATGGATTAATCTTTTTGAAATTGAACATGAGCAGTCATGTTATTAAATCATATTTTTAAATAATGGAATCTGATAAATGTGTTTGCAGCGCAAGACTTTCACTCCCAGCACCAGAAGATAAAAGCATTGTGAGCGCAACAGAAACTAGAACAGCTGATCAAAATCCAATGAGAAGTATGAATACCTTGCCGTTGCCTTCACCTGAAGCCAATCAATTGAGTACAAGATCTGGAGCTAACAATTCTCAGCCCATCATTGAAGAGCCACCTTCACCAGAGCCTATCATTGACGTGCCAGCCACACCAGAACAAGATTATACACAAGTTCCACAATGTGATATTGAAAATGCTTTTAATGAAGATCCTGATGAAATTCCTACTATTCAACTCAATATGGAAGAGTTCACGCACAATTTGCAGAAGATCATGGAGCAAAATATGGAATTACAGGAGGGCAATATGTCAAAGGCCTTAGTTGCTTTAACTTCTGCAGCTGCTTCAATCCCTGTGCCTAAACTTAAAAATGTGAGCCGGCTCAGAACAGAGCATCAAGTGTAAGTAAACTTTTCTAGTTGCATATGATTGGCAAGTAACCACTAGAGTTCAATGACAAAGACATCTTGTGGATATATTTAATATTTTTAACAGATACATGCAAGTAGCATGTTGTTCCATTGAACTTACTAAATTATTGTACTGATTAACATTATAGAGCTTGGTGAAATGTTTTAATAATCATTATCATCATTAATCAATTTCTTTTTGTACAGCTATGAGCTGCCAGATTCACATCCTCTTCTAGAAGGGGTTAGTATTACCCTATCATAATACTAATACGCCTTACAGCCCAATGTATATTTCAGACTTAACTGTAATTTCTTAATTTGCAGATGGATAAACGAGAACCAGATGATCCTTGCCCTTACCTACTTGCTATATGGACCCCAGGTATGACATACACAGTACAGGATTAAGCTAAGAAGTTCAAGTAAAATAAAAAATTTAGCAGGCTCAAAATAGCAGAGCAAATTTTCAAGTAAAAGCACATAGAATGATAATCAACTCAGAGAAACTATGAAATAACTATTCCACCACCACAATTCAGGTGAAACAGCAAATTCTATTGAACCGCCTGAAAGACGGTGCAGCTCCAAAGAGTTCGGCAAGCTATGCACAGATGAAGGCTGTTCATCATGCAACAGCATACGAGAAGCAGACTCTCAAACTGTTCGGGGGACTCTTCTGGTATAATAATTTTACTGACTGATAGACACTATTCTTGAGTCAATTGTCTTTTCCAATTCTTTATAATTACAATTATACTATTGTAAAAGGATCTGGAATGCTTCATTGGTCTAACATGACTGTCCATAACAGATCCCATGCAGAACGGCAATGAGAGGAAGCTTTCCACTAAATGGCACATATTTTCAAGTTAATGAGGTAACGATAGGACCGAGTCTTTATTCAAATATGACAAGATGTATATTGACAAGGTACAATGGATATTCATTTGGCTTTGAATTTTGTTCATCTACAGGTGTTTTCTGACCATGAAAGTAGCCAGTCCCCAATAGCTGTTCCAAGAGAGTGGCTATGGAACTTGCCACGGAGAATAGTGTATTTTGGGACATCAATACCAACCATTTTTAAAGGTAATAGAGCTAGAAACAGATAAGTAACTAAATGCCAGTTTTCTGAAATAAAGACTAACAATGCATCACTTCTTTCCATTTATTAGGACTGACAACCGAAGGGATTCAATACTGCTTTTGGAGAGGTAAGTCTGAATTTTACTGTTCTTTTACCAGCTCTGGGCCAATGTTCGCAATTTCTATCCATATGGGATGTTGCAAAGGATGCAAATAAAAAACATCTAAGACAAGCCTCTTAAAGAGATCCATAAGTCAAATGAACATTACTTAAATGTCAGACAAGTCTGGTATGCAGAAGGTGGAAACAAGGAACCAAAAAGATTTTACTAATAGTTCTTACAAGTGACAATTTACACTAATAGTTCCAACAAGTGACGAATTCGCATCTTCCTCGCTACAAGACCAGTCTTTTGTGATGGCTGAGAATCGAAGACTCAAACTTAAGGAAGGATGCATGTGAACTTCAACAAGTTCTCCTTAGTCTTCTATTCATGTTATTTTCCCTCTTACTTTAGGAAAACAAGTTACTCGTCTAAATCACATCATGCGTCTCCTTGTTTTGAACAGCATAGCAAATCTGATTTTCCAAAAGGAGTAGGCATCTATTCAGTTCATTATCTTTTTTGTTTTCTGTAATTCCATTTGTTCACTGAACCCACCTCGTGGCTCTATCTTTCTACCCTATTGCTGGCAAGTAAAACACCCAAACTCGTGCACAAGTGAACAAAGTGTACTTGCAGTATGACGTAGATATTTATTAAAGGTAATTTAGACAAGCTGAAAGTACTGAAGCAAGAAGAACAGAGCATTATATGCTCGCCACAGCCACACAAACATAGTAATATTAACAACCTGCTAATAATCAGCATGAAGACATCTCTAGTAGTAGCTGCCCACAATGTTATCAAGATCTAGCTTTCAAATGTATATCAGTGGTAGTCTGTATCACACTATTACTGCATCTTAACTGAATCCTAAAGGTACATTTCACCCAGTGGTTCGTAAGTGAATCTAACCATAGCCATCATGTTTTTTTCAGGGTTCGTTTGTGTAAGAGGCTTTGACAGGAAAACAAGGGCACCACGTCCCCTCATCGCCAGATTGCACTTTCCAGCTAGCAGATTATTAAGCAAAGGGAAAGGGAAGATGGATGAGAACTAGACAAGACTGCACTTAGTTTAAACAATGGCTAAACTGTGAATAATTTAGCAACAGCAGGAAATTGACAGCGCTTGCTTGTATCATGTGAACTAGACTCGAGGGTGAACTAGTTAGACATCATTACATCTCGTCAGCAGAGAGAATAATTGGTACTAGATAACTGTGGAACGGTTTAGGAAAGGGCAGTGTTTTCTAATTTGTTGTTTACTTGTGAAATGATTAATTTATGCTATCAAGGTACTCTTTTTTTTTTAATCGGTCCCATCCAGGTACTCTTGATATGCTAGCACGAGGTTCATGGTAAGGTCACATGTCATGGTTAAGGAAAAACACATGCACCAGAAAGGCAAAATGAAGCAATAGTTGGCAAAAACCATGTACAATCAGTTGAACCATTGATGAAGATAACTGGGTCAAAAATGCGTTCCATCATGGGGTACAATTCCTATGGAGTTGATGCACATCAATTAAAGAAGAATGAGAATGTGATTTTAGACATAGAAACTGAACTCTACTCTCATGGTGTATAACGCCTGCTAGTAGTTCTTTTTTGAGTCGCAGAAAATAAGATAGGCATGATGACATTCCATAAATCAAGAAAACCTCAGAAAATATATTAGGAAATATTATGGCAACAATTGATCGGCCAAAACCATCAACTGCAAAAGTTTGGATGAGTTTCATTAGGATCAAAGACGAACGGGAAAGGGTGAATTATTGTCAAACTTTTTCTCTAGCTCTAGGAAGAGACTTGCACATAAAGGTCATGTATCCATTAAAAGCTGATGCATCTTTTGGGAGAGCATAGATTTTTCTCCTTACTGAATAAAGTGAACTGTCCATCATAGAACAAAAATCTCACCATAATTCAGGTATAAGAGAATTCAACCAGCACTATAACTTGAATGATTTTTTTTTTAATCGGGGCAGATTGAATGCTTTCAAAATAAAAGAGAAGAAAATAAATTTAAAAAAAAAAAAAGGTCCGCATAGTAGCCTTGCACTTGTTGCCTACTATCGTAATTGCAATTTAATTCTAGGTTATTGATAAGCATCTAACCACCATTGATCAATATATCATAAGAAGAAAAATGGCAAATGCTAAAGTATATGCACCGTGTATATCTTAGCCATAACTTCAAATTATCCGCCTCAAAGCATATCTTACCACGGCTAGAGCAAGTAATATATGATGAAATGGAAGTGTATTGTCAAACTTACAAAAACATCAACACAAAACACTTAAAAATGGATGCAAACTCACATATTTGCTGCCATTTCCAATCATCGAACAGAAATCCGCCATCCTCACGCTTCGATCTTGAAGTTCTGGCAAAACATGCCAAATCAAACAAAAACCAAAATGATTAAAAGCAAAATACGAGCTCCAGAAGTTATCAACAGAAACAAATTTGACAATCATCCGCGTACCTTTCAGCAATTCCATCAGCACTTCAAAACGAGATGAAGATCGCGCAAAGCCAACCAACCAACCAAATCTCTCTCATAGATGAACTTTGTACTAATTAAAATATATATGTATATATATATTATTAACAGTTTAAATATATTCTGGAAGGATCAAAAACACATAATAGATGAATAATGCTTGAAATTTTAAGCCAGTTTGCGGCGATAAAAGATTGTCAGAGAATAGTTCGCTTGCTTATTTGCAATCGCAAATGACAAAGAGTAAAATTTTGCCGCTTGGCGTCGTATAAACTTCCCTCCAAATTTTTGGGCATTTGAAATGACGCGCCAGTTGGCGAGTGACTCGTTGGCTGGAGATAAATGGGTTGAAATGGGCCTTACCCTTGCGCGTTGATTGGATGGAAATAAAGACATTCGTGTCCATTTACTTTGTTGGACGGGAGTGAAATTTATAAGAGCATCTCCAATGCTATAAGTGTGAAAGACCATTATTTTTAACACATGTCAATTAGTGATTGTAATATTAATCCACATTGGAATAATGTTAAAAGACTAAAATTTTTAATGAAACTAGTATCTCCAATGCATCAATTTGATAAAAAGTTATTTGTATAGATGGACCAATTAAATAATTCATTGATACAAAAAAAATAAAAAATTAAAAACAAATATAAAGTAAATTGATGAGTCATCATGTTTAACATGGTGTTAGATATTAGAAAGTATGCTCAACATTGTCAACATTAAATGACATCCACCTCATCATGAAAGAGTTCATAACAAGATGCATTGGAGAAAAAAATAGAGACACACTTTCAAAAGTTGATGATATGGATGACTTTTTATAATGTCAAAAGTTGTATTGGAGATGCTCTAAGAGAAAATTACCCTGTATACAACTGAACAAAGAAATATTGCATCTACACCAATAAAGTTATTTATTTGCAAACATAATAAATCTGTTAAAAATAATAGCACAAATACAAGATACATTTACAATTTTCTATAGGTAATTATTAAGGAGGTGATTTTTGAATGGTAACTTCCTAATTTATTGGGATTCTCAATGTAACTTTCAATGTTTAACGTGATTGTAGGAAGATAATATCTCACTTAATACGGTAATGGATTTTTAGCTTGAGGTCAAATAAATCTATACTTATATTAAAAGATATACCATTTATCAGATTTAGTATAAAGAAAAATCAACAACATTTATTGCATTACTATTTCCGTATTATACAATCTATACTTATATAAAAGAAGATTCTATTTACTACATTTATTATCCAGAAAAGTCAACTGCATTAAATGTCATTACTATTTTGGTATTATAATATTTTATTTATTTAATTAATTTATTTATTTATTTTATTTTAAAAAGGTAAGTATAATAAAAAGATTTTAATAATAAAAAAATCAAATACCAAATAAAAATGTACACTTTGACTTATTTGATTATATTTGGTATTTGATTATACCAAATATATTCCTATTTAGTATATACATTAAATACTTACTAAAGTATTTATTTGTTTTATTTGTCAAAGTTAAGTATAGATTTGTTTATATTATCAAATCATAAAAAAAATATTAAATCCATATTGAAAAAAAAAATCATATAATTTTATAACAATTCTACTACACTATTTAACAATATTTCTTTTTTATTATATAATAAAATAATAATTAAATATTATATGGTGAACAACAATAAGTAAAACTGTTACTTTCTCTTATATCAAGGGATAAATTTATATGCTAAAATAAAATTTTTATTAGTATAAATATTTTAGTGAGATAATATATTAATTATTTTACAAGCTAGCGCTAACATGCTCATATTTAATGTTTTAAAAAATGTAGAACAAAAAACTTATAATAACTCTATTATTTTTTAAACTTAAACGTTGATTAAAAGAGGTAAAAATTCTTAATTTTTTAGACTTAAACGTTGATTAACACCATAGATTGAGAGTTTATATTTAGTAAAATTTCTAATTGTAATAAAAAAATTAATTTTTGCTATATTTTAGAATATCTTTAAATTTATTATAAAAAAAAAACTACAATGAAAAATGCAAGTCAGCTATATATCGATTTGTTGTACTCCTCAAATCACATTCACAATTTGGCGACAAGGAAAGGAAACTTATTGATTAAAATATTATTTTGTCAGTAGTCTTAATGTACAAGAGACTTTAAGATTCCACTTGAATATTATAAAACTTTTATTGAACATTGTACAATTTTCTTGCGTATTATAAACTTTTATTGAATATTGCATCTTATAATATAATATTCTCCAAATAAATATATCGTGTGCTTCGCATGGTTCACGTACTATATATATCCCGTACATTTTTCTTTATTCATGTATATAATTATAAGCCTGGATAAATAGTCTTAAAATTGTGCACCTCGTGCATCGCACGGGCTCTGTACTAGTGCAGTTGAAAAGGCATGCTTGCAAATATAATTACTCACTTCGTAAAGTCGCAATTATTTAAAATTCTTGTGGTGGAAACCAAATTTTGCCAATTTATAATTCAACTAATTTTACACGTTAGTATTTTGTCCAATGTTTACAATATAGGATACAAAATTCTAAAACTAATCAAGTATTTACTATCAAGGATTAAATGAGATGACAAAACTTGAAATGTCTAATTTACCCTTCCATTCATAAAACCCAACACAGTCGCTCGGGATTTTCATTTTACGGGCTTTCAAAAATTTCGTCGAGCCCTAAATTGGAGTTCGGTGGGAGAGGACGAGAGCCACTAGAAGACGTAGACGACGTCGGCCCCAACGTCATTCCGAGGATGACGAGCTTAGGGCTATCACCGGCGACGGTTGTGGGCTGTGGGCTACCATCAGTGTTCTGAAGGCAATCCGACGAGAACCATTGCAAATTGGACTTGTGGGCTTCTACTACGTAATATAATTACCGTTCATTTGAGTGCACGTTCTTTGTTCTAAGAATAATTGTTTGTTTGGGTTTCATTTTACTAAATTTATGAGAATTTAGATTTTTAGGCTTCTTGTAAATTGTATTGTGGTAGAATTTGGATAATATATTAGTTGGTTTATAAAATGTGTATAGTTAGCAAAATCCGAGTTCGGGGTATCCCTTTCTCAACACCACCTCCATATCATGTTTGCCACAAAAGTCTGAAACCCCATTAAACTTGTTGAAGATCTCAGTCTCCCTCCCTTTTAATCTTTAGCTTTGGCAAAGTCATTCCAATCTCCTATAATACACCAAATAATTCCCCATTTAGTTTTCTTTTCCTCTAGCTCCCTCCATTGAGTTTCTCTTAGCCTTTTGTCTATACTCAGGTAGACAAAGATCACACACCTAAAAGGCTCATCAGACTTTAGCCTAAACTCCACTTCCATGCAGAAAACATAGGATCTGCTTTACTTCCACCTCATTGTTACATACCAGCATCAACCCTCCACTTTGACCCATAGGCTCCACTAGCTTACACCTATCTACAAAACCTAACTTCTTGCAAACAGTTAAGGAGAAAACATTTGTATTTTTGTTTCAGACAAAAAAGCAAAATGGGGGTGGTGGATCCTTAGGTACTTGTTGAGTTAGGAAACTGTAAAGGGCCCACTCAAACCTCTACAGTTCCACACAATTGCCTTCATCGGTCACCCTGGGGCCATTTGAGGTTGGCCTTCTCCACTTTAACATTTCTACTCTTGAGTTTTTTTTCCTTTGATTCTTCCACCATTGGGTGCTCCTCTGCAATAGTCATGACTAGTACTCCCTGCCTACTTCTCTTTACCGCTTCAGATTGTTGAGCCTTCCCTACAACCAGTTTCCTTTTGGGCCCATCTTCCTTTATAATTTCCCTCTTCCATGTTTTTTGTTTTGTTGTGTGATTCTCCAGTGGTAAGTGTTTGGTTTCTTTCGATTTGAAGATGATTGTTCCTTGGGTGTTGTCTTCTTCTGTTTCCATCTTAATTGTTGTGTTTGGGTCCAATTCCACCGGCATTGTTTTCTCAGCTTCTTTATTCCCTGTAGGGAGGTTTTAACTCATCATTAAGGCATTGGATGGGTCCAGGTCTTATCTCGAAGAGCTAGATTCTATTATGCTTAAGATCTTCTGGTTTTGATTAAGGATTATTGTGGGTAAAATAAATTTGAATCTATATTGTTGTTTTTATCTATGGTGAATTGAGTTGTTGGTATGTAAGGTTTTTCATGTTTGTTACTTTGTAAATACAGTGTTGAATTAATGTGTGGCAGCTCTCACTTAGATTTGCTTGTAGCCTTAATCATGTATAGACATATGCAATGATATTGTGTTATATGATGCAGAGGATTTTGTATGAATATGATAGATTTGAGTTAGAAAGGCCATTAATTGTAGATTATCTTTGCCATTTTTTGAGAGTTTTTTTCCATGTCCTTGTAATGCACCTACATTGAATTCTTTTGTTTTGCCCATTTATGTTTAATGTGTTTCTAGTTTCATTTCCAACTTCTAGAGATGATAGAGTTTCTCTCTCTCTCTCTCTCTCTCTCTCTCTCTCTCTCTCTCTCATATGAGCATCATTTGTTCCTCCTTTATTGGGTTATCTATAAAGTGACCCCTCTTAAGTTCAATTAATGTATGGATGTGGTATGTGCAAAATAGCCTGAGAAATGATCGTCTAACGTTTTTTAAAAAAGAACTCCAAGTCTTGTTCTTGTCGGACTTTAAGTCACCATATGAAATTTAATTTATTCATACTTAAAAGAATTTTTGAATTACCCAAATGAATAGCAACTCCAAGAGCCAAATTGCATCATCATCTCGTGACATTCTTATATAAGTTGTTCTAAGTCTAATTGAGGGGATTAAAAGGTTAAAGAATATTTGGTGATTATGTCGTATAGGTCCTTATTTTGCTTTGTTTTGCCTTTGGTGTTGCTAATTGTTGTGAATTGATGGTGGCTGAAGGAATAAAGGCTGATCTTTTGATTTCATCCATTACTTGTCTTTTTTATATTTTTCTCTGAGAAAAAAAAAAAAAATAGTGACACATGAAGAATATATTCCTTGGATATTGTTGTTGTATTCTATGTAGAGGTTAAAAGAAACGGGCTCGGCATTCATTTTGTCAGTTCGTGTCTTCTATTACATTACATTGTTCAGATGAATCTGTGAATCCTTTCTTCTCCTCTTGCTTTGTGTTATATGTGCGAGTATTTACCTTATTTCAAATGTTATGTTTTAGAATTCTAAATTTCCCCGTTGATTGATTAGTTCCAGTAAATGAAGATATTTCATTATAAAGAAGCCTCCAATGTTTATGAATTGTGTTGTGTGTTCTCTTATTTCGTTCATAATTAATATGTACAATGTAACGATGTCCTACATGAAACAACAATGGAAAGAAACTTCCCTCACGAGCAAAAACAATATTTGTTTAATGACAAATGGACATATAAGGTTGACGAGTCATTTGCAAGCTTGTTGGTATTAGCCAACCCCATATGCCTTTGTTATGTAAAAACATTAAAAAAGATGAGTACTCATTGTTTACCTATTGTGCAGATAGGTTTACTATTGAGTTCAATACATCTTTTACTTCATTTGAGTGTGACCACAGGTTTGAGCAATTTAGGAGAAGATACAGGGTGATGCGGGAGATGATTACAAACTATGGTATCAAATATTATTCGGAGAGTGGTCTTATGTGGGGAGCAAGAGAAGCTTGGAACAAGGTATATAGTGTATGTATCGCGATCACATTCCAAGATACTCTTGCATTTCAACTTGGTTATCATATGATGTATCTACAATTTGTTTGTTTGACATTACTTATCTGGCATGATGAATCTATCAGTCTGGCCTACCAAACGATGGGAGACCCCCTTATGGGAGGAATTGCAGATAATATTTGGAGAGAAGAACGAGGAAACGGTCCACCCCGAAGTGCAAAGTGCTCGCAATCGCGTTACGACTGTTGAGATTGATGTCGATAGTCAGAAAGGAAAACAACCACTTGTGTAAAATTATTATGTCTTTTGCTTAAGTGATACTTTTTACATTAACCTAACTGGTGTATTTTAACTGTTTTTGAGACACGATTTTTCATATCATGGAATTGTTTTTGGAATGCTTATTTGGATGTTATGTGTTTGTTGATGATTTTTTTAATCTAGGTTCATTTTTTAGTTATGGTAATTAACGAGTGCTTATATGATTATTAGTATTGATATTATGTACAAACTTCAGTGTATTCAGATTGATTGATCTGACCATTCGACTGGTAAAAAAAATTAAGTTTGAAATGACATGCTATGACAATACAATGCAAGTCTAAAGCTAGTTTCCAAATTTTCTGCAAAGCTGAACTGATTGGATTAAAGGTCTAGATGACCATCTTTTCCAATTTGTATCATTTACATGCTTTATATCATTTCTTTGGTGAGCATTTTTCATTATTGAGAAATGCAATTAGAAATTATAAAATAAAATAAGTCCAAGAAGAATATTGAGATGATGAGATCACACCATGTAACAAATGTATCCCTTCTTTCCGACAAAGAGGACTATGGTAAGAGGAAAGGGAGAAAGAGGAACTTTACCAAAGACAAAATATATAGATCGGTTTTGCTATGAAACCAACAGTTGACTCCATAGCGGAGCCAACTTTCTATATACAACAAGTAAACATACCATATTTGCTGATTACTTAAATAACAATAACAAAAAGTTGGCTCCACTATGAAACCAACTGTTGGCTTCCTATCAAAATCGATATATAGAGAAAAAAAAACGAAAGAAAAAGAATTAGAAAAATATCTGAAAAATGGCGGTGCTCCATCTTTTATGAGTTCCGGTTCACTCCCTTGTGCGAACAGGTAACAGCTCGATGGAAATGGCTACCAGGCGATCGAATTACGCCTTGCTGAATCAGAATACCGACCAACCCGTTTACCACCAGCCACCGCCTCAGCAGAAGAAGCTCTCCGGCGGCGATGGCGAGGCTGCTGCTATTTATTACGAGTCTCACTCCGGCGGGAAGAATAATCTGCGGTCCGAACGAGGCTCATCCTTGGATTGGGAATTGATTGATCAGCGGTTGATCCGGGCGCACCAGCCACAGCAGAGCCGGATCGGGACGGCGCCGTTTCAGGGGTCTTTCGGGCTGCAGAGGCAGTCGAGCGGGAGCAGCTTCGGCGGGAGCTCGATCTCGGGGGACTATTTCGCGCCCTCAATCTCAGTCCCCGAGCTGCCTTATGGTCATTCGAACGATGGCGGCGGTGAATCCCGGGTGAGAACGGCGGAGATTTCTGTTAGCGGCGACGGCTCGTCTTCTTCAAAGAGCTGGGCGCAGCAGACGGAAGAGAGCTACCAGTTGCAGCTGGCTTTGGCCCTTCGCCTCTCTTCAGAAGCTACCTGTGCAAACGATCCTAATTTTCTGGATCCCGGGCCTGAGGAATCAACATCGGGTGCTTCTTCATTAGCTGCCTCCGCAGATGCAGTTTCTCATCGATTTTGGGTAAGGAGGATTGTAATCTGGATGGGATTGTTTATGTGGTTGCTTCATGTCGAATAGGTTGTTTGCATGAGTAGTAATTCAGAGGCGGATAGGCGTTACTGACTGGCGGCTGAATGCTGACAAACGAATCGGTACTAATAGCACTGGTTATAAAGTCGTTGACAATGAATATTTCTTGTGATGATAGTTATTGCGAATATCAAAGTTGAGTATCTCAGATGAGAATCAAGTGAACAAGGATTGTTAGGTTGAGCAGTAGAGAAAGTCCTACTTAAATGGTTAAGTTCAAGGTGCTTTTAGGTAATGAGTTGGACATGATTATCTAATTGCTTCAACTGTTGGGCACCCTTGTCCCTATTTGCTAGGAGTTTCTGGTTTTATATATGTTTGGTTAAAAAATCATCTGACGTTTATAATATAATATAATTTGCTGAGTTGATGCACTGAGATTCATTATGAATCAAAGTCATCACTGATTGTGTGAATTTGATGCTATTGCGTAAGGCAAAAAGTGAATTCTTCGAAAGGAAAGAGCTTTGTACTCGAGGGTCGATGTAATTGAGTTCAATAGGCTATTCCTTTTAGACTAAATATGAATTTACTAGTCCACCGGGCATGTAATAGGCTAACATCAGACAATCTTGAGGTGCACTGTATTAAGGTTTGCAAGATAACGATTGTTTGCCTTTTTCTGAATTCCGATCAATTTTTATTCCAATTTGCTCCCCCGGATCATAACCAATGACAGACATTACTCTATTAAATGCATTTCTCCACTAACACACACACACATTCCGAATTACTTATGATCTCTCTTTTCATGTACGTTCTTTGAAAAAGCCAAAAAGTAACAGAGTTTTTGACAGAGAACAATTTCTTTATATACTTTACTATTTTGACAAATTTGAGATAGAATTTATTACGTATTCGTAAGACAACTTCCTAGGGTTGATATATTTTGACCAGTGTTATTGTTATACTAATTTAGGGATTACAATGATCAACTGCGTATTTGTGCACATGGATACATTATAACCAAAATTTCTTGTTATGCATTTTTTGGCTCATCAGTCGAAATTAATTTATTTAGACGATCTAACAAACTAAGGTGCTACGACATTAACTCCTAAGGAGTTGAATGATTAAAATGTCCCTTAAAATTTGGCATACTAGTGATTTGAAATGCTATAATTGGCTACCTATGATTTCCATATCTTCCGTGGCAGGGTGCGTTCTTTTGACTTTCGAGGCAAAAAGGACCAACTTTCGAAAGGCGAAAGCATAGTTATTTCTCGTAGCAAATTGACCAAATTCCCATTATGGAGGGTTTAGGATTTGAGGTGATTATTCATGTCAAAGAGTAATATCTCACATATAAAACAAAGGAGCTAACAATTTGAAATTCATACTGCTCAAACAAGCGTAATCTCGTAGCATGAGATACTTCAATCAAAATGCAGCATAATATTTATGAGACTTGATTCCTTATTATTAGGAAGGAGTCTGCTCCTTCTCATTTAACTCAGTTGCATTTGAATCGTGATCATGGTGCATGAACCAAATTGGTTTATTGTGGGTAGGTGTTATGTCATGACTGTTTCAATCTGTTTATTATCTGGAATAAAGTCACTTTCTTGAGTAACTATGTCTGCAGAATAGAGAGTGAAAGTATCATTATTATTCCAGAAGAGTTAGGATAGTTAACAGCTTAACGTTGTATGGTACACAAATGATTAGCATTGAAATGGGTATTTGGGCTACAGTTCATTGGACCATAATATATCTCAGTTTACACACGATTATGTTGGTCTTTCCGCAATGTATCATACAACGTACTCAGTTAATTACCTGTGTTATTTTTATGCCATGGCGGTATGGTGTGGTGGATTTATGCGTAACCGCCATTATAAAATTGTGAAGGATGGCGGTTAAAGTGTCGTGTTGGGGCCACCGTGGCGGGATTTCAGCATGCCGCTATTTTCTTCCATCCGCCGTTGATAACTCTGGTTTTTAGTTTCTCTTGTTTTGTCATGGCAATTTGTTAATTTTAAAGTCTCTTACTTAATTCAATCATTTTTAGGTCTCTTACTTTTATTTTTTATGAACTAGGTAAATGGTTGCTTATCTTATTTCGACAAAGTTCCAGATGGGTTTTACATGATTCACGGGATGGATCCATATGTTTGGGCTGTGTGCTCCGATCATCAAGAAAGCGGTCGCATCCCATCTCTTGATTTGTTAAAGGCCGTTGATCCTGGTCTAGTCTCTTCAGTTGAAGTGATTTTCGTAGATAGGCGAGCTGATCCCAGCTTGAAAGAGCTGCAGAATCGGACTCACAACTTATCATCTAGTTGCATCACCACAAAGGAAATTGTTGACCAGATTGCGAAGCTAGTCTGTAACCATATGGGGTGAGCACTATGAGCTACCAGTTAAGTCTTCAAGCAAAAGTTTTTCTTGCTATAATCATTTACTTTTTCTTGGTTCCTTTGCTAGGGGTGCAGTTTCCAATGGGGAAGATGATTTGGTTACAATTTGGAAGGAGTGCAGTGATGACTTAAAGGACTGCTTGGGGTCTGTTGTGCTCCCTATTGGTAGCCTCTCCATTGGACTATGCAGACATCGAACTCTGCTGTTCAAAGTATGTGCTAGTTTATCAGCCTGCTTTTCTTTTTCTGGATAATTGTTTGCTTGGCTTGTACTGAATCATTTTTAAGTTGTAACGATAAATTATATAAGCTGGAGATAGCGGAACCTCAAATTAAGAGTGGATGGGTTAAGAGAGTTATAAAGTAAAGCTGCCAATGTCGGTGGTCATAGGGTATTGCTGGTTGTCTTTTGCATTGTATCTAGAGACTTGTCTGGAGAGATGGTGCTGTGGCTAACATTGGCTATAATCCCCTTTTTAGTTCCAATTCCTGCTCAAGAAAACAGTTATTCTCCACTTGTTCTCTGAAATGTTTTACATAATGGCCTCTTGTCTCATTTCTCTTTGCCTTTAGATGCACTTTTGGAGAAGTTTTTTTCTTTTTTGCAATTAAATTGTTGCTTTTATAGGTTTTGGCTGATATGATTGGCTTACCATGTCGAATTGCAAAAGGATGTAAATGTTGCACTAGGGAAGATGCTTCATCGTGCCTGGTTCGTTTCGGGCATGACAGGTATATGCTTGCTTGAGATGCTTTCAATAAGACAATATTCATTGTAGTAACACCCCTTTCCCCACAAAAGATAAAGGGCAAAAAAAGCAATGCAACTCCCTTATTTAATAATGGGGAAATCTAACTTTATATACTCTTGAATATTACTTGGTTTCTCTGGTTTGAGAATGGTAATAATTGAATTTTAATTGTGAAAAATCTTGGATTTTGCATTAATGCAACAGATAATGTGGTGTTCTATAGTTGACAAAATAAGATTCTTGCCAGCATTATAATAATCCAAATAATAGGATGGTCACCATGTCTTTGTTTTAAATGTTTCATACTTGCTGTAATGGAGGAGAATAAATATTTTACATTTCCTAGTTTTTTTATTTACATCGACTTTATTAGAAGTTGATGAAAGCTGCTAGTTCTAAAGTTCCTGGGTTTGCATGTTCTTAATTGAAATAGATGAGCATTAGTGTGGTTTCTGTATGTTGGTTTATACTGATTGTAAGATGTATAATTACTGCTGAACATTTTTTTTTTTGTCACTTTCTTAATGTTACAGGGAGTATCTTATTGATTTGGTTGAGAACCCAGGATGCTTATGTGACCCTGATTCCTTGCTGAATGGTCCATCTACAATCGCAATTTCCTCACCTTTATGCTTTCCGCGGTTTCGGAAGGTGGAACCTGCGGTTGATTTCAGGTTGCTGGCGAAAAGATTCTTCTCAGATCTTCAGTCGCTCAATCTTGAGTTCGATGATTTTGTAGCAGGTTATTATCATTTATACATTTGAGTTTTTGTTTAATGTGGTTATCTTCTTGGTTTTATTCTATCTAAAGTGTGCCTTGGGCTCTATAAATAATGGAATTGTGTGGGTACTGTATGGACTAGAGCAGATATAATGTTGATCCACTTTATGGTCCATAATAGAATTAAGTTGTGGTTCCAAGTTCATTGTATTAATAAGATCTAAGTTTGAATAATGGTTTCACTTGCGAGAAGAATTTTGCTAGGATACTCTGGAACCTGGAATTCATATCTTGGGCATTGAAAGTGTGAATTATGGGGATCCTAGTTTCTTATAGGATTCGTGTACAGAAGTGAACATTGTGTATCATCATATTGTACGTAGTTATATTTATTTAAATTTAAATGTATATATAGCTTAATATAGAGTAATGGTTGTAACTTAAAAACTTTTGAGGTAGATATCATATCAAAGGTTGTGATATAGGGATTGAAGATTTGGATCCTGGTACAAATGGTTTGAGTCATACCATAAACATTCTGTTTGGATATTCCCCAAGTATTTTAGTGAAATTTACAAGTTGCATGTCATCTTGCCAATCTATCATTGGTAAAATAATCTAGGCTTCACTCTATAGCATCCCGAATTCATGTCTACAACTATCTTGTAATGATCTCTGTCGTATTAAACTTTTGTTTCTAAAACTTGACATTTACTATTCTGGGCTGCTGGCTTGAGTTTACAAGAAAAATCTTGCCTGCAACAGCTGGAACCATTATTGATGGAGAGATATCTAAACAGTCGGAGGGGACTCATGTTGATAGAACCAACTCTCCACCCAGCTCAAGCAATCGAGAGGAAATTCCTGAAGCACAACCATTCCCCACAAATTCCTGGATAAAGGTTCATGATAAAGAACAGTTACTCTCCAGACCTTCTAATGCCCAGAATGTAGTAAGCTCGGCAAATGTACTCAAAAGCTCGATCCCCGTAAAACTTATTCCTCCAATTGGGAATAAAGAAGTTCATCCGGTTACCTCCATGCTGGGTCAAAGAATAAATACAAGTAAAGACACAAGGTTCGGTGAAGGAGGCCAATCAATTGCATCTAAAACAAGTGAATTTACCTTTGATGTTGATGATCTAAAAATTCCCTGGTGTGATCTTGCTTTAAAGGAGAAGATTGGGTCAGGTTAGTCTTCGGATTGCTCTTAGATAGTGCTGAGGACCAACTCTTGTGTTTGTCTATTGTACTCACTCAAAACCACCACCACACACCCAAAACCAAAATAATAATAATTAGTCCATTTTTATTTGAGTTTGAGGTCTGTTAAGTTTTTTTCCATTGATGTACCATTGTTCATTGAGACAATTGCAATTATGGTAAATAAGAGTATAATAAAAAGATTGACTATTGTTTGGATTTTTTATGCAATTTAACTGAATTTCTTAATCTGTGTGAAAATGAAAATTAGGAATAATAAAGTGGGAAGGTGGGACTATCATTTTGGAGAAAGCATATGCTAGTCTTCCGACCTGGTTGCATGTTGATTTGGATTTGTTGGCTTTACAGGTTCTTTTGGAACAGTTCATCGTGCTGAATGGAATGGCTGTGTAAGAACCTCTCCTTCTACTCTTCATGCATGTTAACAAGTCTTATTTCATCTGTAACGGTGATGTTGAACTCCATTTTTATATTATCCCTTTAAGTTCTTTTTTCTTTTTTTGGTCAATGCTGGAACCTTATTCAGATAACATTTTAAATATATATTTCATGATTCAGTTTTCATATAGGTTTAATAAGTGTGAATTACATTTCAGGATGTTGCTGTGAAGATTCTCATGGAACAAGACTTCCATGCGGAGCAGTTCAAGGAATTTTTAAGGGAGGTAGGGTCTGCATTCTACTTCCTTTCAATCAACCTTTGATTGTTCTACTTCAGTTTGTGCTTTAGTTGCTTTGTTGTTGGGCAGGTGGCTATCATGAAAAGACTGCGACATCCGAATATTGTGCTTTTAATGGGTGCTGTTACAGAACAGCCAAACTTGTCCATAGTAACAGAGTATTTATCAAGGTATAAATTTATTTATTCGTTTTATCTAAATGTCATTTTTTGTTACTGTGAATGCCATTTTCTCTGTTACTGTACTTTGGATGGCTCTATTCTGACAATCTATTTTGACGTTTTTTATTCAGAGGTAGTCTCTATAGACTGCTGCATAAACCTGGGGCAAAAGAGGCTTTGGATGAAAGACGTCGGCTAAGCATGGCTTATGATGTGGTATGTCTTCGGATCCTCCTGTTGGAAAGCAGATCTACATTCTGAACTCTTATATTCTAAACTCTTGTCTTCGGATTCACTCTTCGTCAGGCAAAAGGAATGAACTATCTTCATAAATGCAATCCTCCTATTGTTCATCGAGACTTGAAATCTCCTAACCTTCTTGTTGATAGGAAGTTTACTGTGAAGGTAAGAGACATTATCTTTAGCACACATCTGCACCTTGTTGAGGTAGATGTTCATCTGTTAAAGCTCTTCTTTTGCTAAAATATAAAATATACTGATTATTATTTTTTAGATTAGCTCTCTTTGGGAAAAGCATATGTAGCACATAGTAACGTTGGCCTACACATACATTTTTCTAAAAATGAAGTATAGGTGGAAGCATTGTATTGCTCGTATCACCTAGATGTTATACAGTGTCAGAAATTTTTCATTCATAACAAAAGCTGTGAATTCCTTTTATGATGTTAATTAGAATTTGGGATTTGATTTTCCATTCCCAGTTCTCTGGTTCTGTTGTTACCTTCTATTACTTTGAGCATGCCAATCATAGTTGTATGTATATCCAATGATATTCAGATTTGTATGAACATCCAATTGTATTTGACCTTGTAAATTATAGATGCTATCAAATGCCTCTTTTTATGAAACCTGTTTCTTCTTGTAGATTCTTAACCTTTTAATTTCTTCATCAGGTATGTGATTTTGGCCTTTCCCGTTTAAAAGCAAACACCTTTCTTTCGTCCAAGTCTGCTGCTGGAACTGTAAGTTTCATTTTTTATATGTAGTGATCTGATGCCTTAAATCTTTTTCTAGGCTATCCAATGGATAAAAAAGAAACTTTTTTATTTCTCTAATATATGTTAATTTTATCTCCTGGTTGACCTGTTATATAGCCTGAGTGGATGGCACCTGAAGTGCTTCGTGATGAACCTTCAAATGAAAAGTCAGATGTGTACAGTTTTGGTGTGATATTATGGGAACTGGCGACTCTGCAGCAACCCTGGGGCAACTTAAATCCTGCACAGGTTGGTGAACTCAGGTTAAATAGAATAGATAAAAAGTTAGAACGCCTGTATTGCACCTTCTTTATAGTATATCTCTCTAATAGCATTGGTCAGAAACTCCATTGGGAATGTAGGGTAAGCTGAACACGAATGTGAAGCTATTGATTCTCTAGTCTGAATTAATTAGCTGCAGAATCAGTTTATCCTTGCTTTTAGTTTGATGCACATCATTCTTTCACCTTTTGTATGTAAACTGCTGTACATTCATGTAGAAATTAAGAAGCACATACCACACTCCTGCACAAATAAATTAAAAGAGAGGAGCAACAGAAGATGGTCAGAGATTTTTAGCATTGTGTTTGTGGCCTTGTTGCTTGAACTTCTCTTCCCCAGCAACAGATTTTTAACCGAACCCTACAGTTGCCCCTTCAATAAAATTGATTTTCTTTATGTACTGCTCGGACTGCAAATAATGTGTTATAGTGTTCGCTAATTTCATTCTGTAATATATTTTACTCTGTTGGGTACATCTGATAAACCTATATTTGGCTTTCACTCTCCAAATCATTGGTGTTCTTAATCACTTTACTGCAAGTACTAGTTAATGATAAATGCACACCACGCTGCACGTATTTTTTTCTTCATTGAGATCTCTCTGTATTATTATTATTATTATTATTATTATTATTATTATTATTATTATTAGTGAAGAATATTCTTTTTGTGATCCATTTTTCCTGAAAATGTCTCAAATATCAGTACCTACCTTGTCAGTGTCCCCCCTACATCTTTCCAATTCTGTTTTTACGAACTTATCATGTCATATGTTAGACATTTTCCTTGAGTTTGAAATTTTGAATACGGTTCTCTTTGTTCTTGATACTATAGGTTGTCGCCGCTGTTGGCTTTAAAGGAAAAAGGCTTGAAATTCCTCGTGAAGTAAATCCCCAATTAGCAGCCCTTATTGAAGCCTGCTGGGCCAAGTAAGCGATTATTAGTGGAAATGGAAAAAGTTGGTCTAAATGGGTACATCATATGAGTTATATATCTACAAATATTTAGTTTTCTCTGCAAAATCTGTACTTATTTCGCAATCTTAAATTTGGTGGTTGAATATTTCAAATGCATTCTAGTCGGACCTTTTGTCAGTTCGTTACTGCCTGTGACATGTATAGTTCATTTTGCTTTAGTATGTTTACTTTTTTACTTACACGCACATCTCAACTTTGGCTGTTATAAATAACTTCTTTGAAGTAATTTGGGACTCCAAGGATTTACCCATTTTTTTATAATTCTGCGCGTGTATCAATCCTCTAGAGTCGTATAATATTTTTCTGTATTCACTTTGATCTCTACATCTCTAGGGAACCTTGGAAACGGCCCTCCTTTTCAAGTATCATGGACTCTTTGAGAAAATTGATTAAGCCCCCAACACCAGCCCAACCAAGTTATGCAAAAACTCCATTGCTCACGTAAAACTGTGGCAGCACTCAGCAGGAAGCTTGTATTTCAATATTTGACTCTCTCCTTCAAACAGGCAAAGATGGATATGTAGATTGTAGAGGTTGGTCTATCTGAGACCTTTCACTTTGACTTCAATAAATTATGGCCATTCAAGTAATTTCTTTTAGCATTTGAATGTCGTCATCCTAGATGGTAGAAAAATATCATTTTTCTTATCATGATAGCACTGGAAATTTGATGCATTTCCTTTTATTATTTATTTTTTAAGTTTTTCCGTGAGCTTACTACTATCAGTTTTGGATGGGTCAATATGTTGCATGTGAAATTTTAAAGCTAGAATCGTCTAATTTTTCTTAACTAGAAACACCCTTTAGACGCAATATTTCATAGAAAACCACAAAAGCAAGGCATGAGTGGTATATTAAAACTTACTCACATAAGAATGTACTTATTGGTTAATATTTGCGTACTCAATGTGCATTACCAATAATAAGACCTTAGAGGAAGGAAATAGGAAACGGAATGCCCATTTTCAAGGAACATGCAACTGAAGGTACAGATGTGGCAGACTTGTTACTCTGCCTTTTTGGTTTGTACTTGTCTTACATATTAGTTAATATCAGAATACACGCCATGATATCTCATATTACCTAATCACGTGTTTTGAAGATATAACACTGGTTTTGAATCTTACGCGTTCCACCATATCTTTTCAGGTACCAGTGTACATAGTAGTTGCGTGATCACCTTTTTGGCTCGTTCAAGATAATTAAAGGAAATCATGAGATTGGGTTTTTTTTTGTGATTTTTTTTTTCGAATTCCTTACTCTTTCTTTCAAAATTCTCCTCAAAATTGTCGATTAACTTTAGAATTTTAATGCTAAAAAGGACTCATGCATCTTTGTTGCTGCAGCGAAATGTATGAAAATAAAAAAAAAATTGGTTTCGAAGATTGTCCACGCTGATGTTTACAGGTAATAAGAGATCACATCTTGGGATGGTAAGGAGGTCGGGTGAGGCGGATGCGTGAATCTTTATAAACCCGCCATGACTGGCATGGTACAATGGGTTGGATTGAATCATCCCATATGAAATAGTACTTTTTAAACAGTATAATAGGTTTTTTTCCCATAATTTTTATATAGTTATTATTTCGTAAGAGCTCATCACCGGTAAGAAATTTATCAAATCCTTATTACTTTAAATGTTAGTAGTGTATGTAATGGTGTAGAATTGGGAAGTTTATGCATGAAAAAGTTTGTATTATGTGGGTGTCTAATTAGGAAGTATGTGCATGAAAGAGATCAAAAAATAAGTTATTTTAAACTTTCAGCTAGGTATTTTTTTAAAAAATTGCACGACACGTTGTGTTATACAGGGTCATGAATTTTTTAAAATCATACTATAATAGCACTCGTGCTATGTGAGATTTTTTCAAACAATACTAGTTTTGAAAATTATATTAGGTAACATTGTATTAATTCTTTGTGCGTTGATAGCGAAATCATTTTCTATGGTTTACAATTTTTCAATTGAGATTAATAGGTAAATTTAATTTTTATTTACAAAGTTATACATTATTATTATTATTATTATTATTATTATTATTATTTATTTATTTTTTTTCATGTGGATTGGATTTCAAAACGATTGATACGTTATATATGAAAATAATTAGAGAAAATTACTCCACACACTCTTGCTAAGCATAGTTTCTAAACCCGGCCCGATGATCGACCCGGGCAAATCCTCGGGTCACCGGTTCAATCGTCGGGTCACCGGGTCAATTGTTGAACCGGATAATTAATTTTAAAATTTTTAAAATTATATATAGAGTATTTTTGTTATATAAATATACATAAAAGTAACAAAATTAAATGTTTTGTGTATAAAATTTGTATATTAAAGTGTTAATAATATGTATCTCATGATAAATATTTACCATATAAACATATATACATAGTTTTATTTTTAAAAAACAAAAAAAATAAAAAAAAAAGATATAAAAAAATATATATTGACCGGGTCAATGCCCTGACTCGGCCGACTCGGCCGGATTTTGACCAGGTTTGATCGGGTCCTTGGTTGCCCAGTCCAAATACTCCACCTGGACCGGTTTCGGCTCCGGGTCGACCCGTCGGGCCGGTCCGGGTCACAAAACACTGTTGCTAAGTATCTTATTCTCATAATTACTCCTTGATTTTCAATTATACCTAGTAGAGGTACATAATAACCTTTTCAGTAGAAAATAAGTACAAAAGTATGCTAATCTTGCTTTGGTAATAAGATGTGATCAAATTAATTGAAGTATTTAATTAGGCGTGTTAATCAGCCAAATTAACTTTTCTTTCTTCTTTCGATTCCTTTTCTTCCTCATCGACTCTTCTGTTCACTTTCTTATCTCTATCCCCACCTCCACCATAGAGTACGAATGATAGTATTTATTCTCGATACTCCTCAAAGACGATGCCTGCTTCTCGAGCTCCTTGGACGAACTTTCGGTCCTTTTCTTGATTTTAATATCCTTCGTCTGCTTTAACGAGATGTAGTGGACGGCGTTGATGAAGCTCTTGATGGCTTTGGATTGTAGTGTCTGGGACCCAGTCGGAGGCGAGTTTCCATTCATCGGAAAAGGCGAATGAGTTCGAAAGAGGCTTTTACTATTCTTGTTTTGTTGTTCGTTACTGATGGATGAGTGAGTTTGAACCATGCATGGAGGGAGCAGATGAATCACATTGGAATTTGACGAGGTGGCAGAAGGCGGAGTGCCAGGCAGAGACAATGAACTCGAGGTCTTGGGTGGCCTATCGGTGTAGGTTGAAAGTGGATTGAGAATTGTTCGCCTGGTGGACTAGCCCAACGACGTCTCTTGGAAGTGGGGCCCGCGTCTAATCGCCCATGTGCATGAACGGGGATGGCGGCCTCCCCGACGACTCTACTCGTGAGTGCAAGGACGGTAAATTGGCTCAATCGGGTTAGTTTTAGTATAAGTTTAGTTTAGATGTGGTCAACATCCACATTTTGAGACAGTTTTTCATGTGGTTTAGATGTGGTTGATTTGTCACTTTGGAAACATTATCTGTTAATAAAGTACAATTGAGGTCTATATTACATTTATATTGAGTAAATGAGGACCGGTCAATTAATTTTATTTTTTTCGACAACTACACTCATAAATCTCTGTACATGCAGTCTTTTTCAATTAGAACCCTTCTAACATTAAACCCTTCCAACATCAAAGTTCTTTTATTTATGTTGTCTCATCGTCCATTGTAGTGGAAGAATACCATTGTTGGAGTTTGTCAGTAAAGTAAAACTAAAGTTTATATTCGTTTATGTTGAGTAAACGTGGACCAGTCCATATCAACATAACAAGTTAAACATCAAATTCAATACAATACGAAAATCAGTAAATTCAAAGAGTTCCGGCGCCCACGGATGAGACCAGACCGACGTCTTCAAAATGCACTTCCACGAGTTTCCGACCCTCTACTTTTGGAAACCCGGATCCCGACTCGCATTCCCTGAAAAAGTTCACGTCTCAACTCCTCCCCTCGTTTTTTTGCCATCGCTGACCTTCAGGACCCGTTTTCACATTCATGCAGAACATTCGAAAGACTACATAGGGATATAAAGATTTACCATTATTCTTTTGTCATAATATTTATATTTTTGTGACATATGGATACAAAGATATTATTGATTAGATTTTAATATCTTTTTAATTTCCTTCCATAACTGATTAGGAGCGTAATTTTTATATTTATATTGTAAAAATTTCAATGTTTGTAATTGAAAAAGTGTCATATAGGTCATATGAATTTTAAACTGATATATATGTTTACTTTTAACCGTTTATTCAAAATGACCGTGTTTCACCAGACTGTTGTCAAATAGTAATAGTTTTCTAACGTGTATCGCTTATTATTGCATATTTTGTTGGTTATATTTGTTTTATCAATCATAATAATTTTTCAACTCAAATGAGACAACGTTGCATATTATTATGTGCTGATTATGATTACTGAGTTTAGCTTTTTTTAACTATAATTGATAGTAATTCCTGTAATTTTTTCATCTAAGATTGAAAATGTCAAAAGCAAACCATAGCCAAATCTTGAAAGTTGAGAGATCCATTTTATCAGAAAGATGTGCCCTTCGGCATTGTTTGACTTTGATGCCTCAGAATTTAGTTTTAGTACACATCCAATAACATGAAAAGAAGAAAACCTATCGTCTTGATCTTGATGGAACAGCGTCATTCGGTTGTATATATGCATATCAAATATCACCTAGATCATGTCATGAAAGAGTAAAAACTTAATAATGTTCGAAGTATATTATCATTAATTGTGTGTATTCTCATTAAAATCCCAATTGGTAGGATGACTACCAATTTAGATCAAAGAACAAAATTAGGAACAAAAGGGCTCTGTGATCTCTCATATATATCCTGCAAGCCAGCTACTACACGGGCATTATCCTAAAAAATGAAACAACACAGATAACACAAAAATTCAAAATAACCAAGGAAAGACAATGTTCAATTACCAAGAAACAATAGGTGGGCTCATCAATCAAAATGATACATCAGTTTTTGACTCGAAAATGTGTATCTATCTATGCTCAAGATTCATCTTGCTTTTGCTTCTTTTGTGAGGGATTGTGTCCCTCACCTCTCGTCTTAGCTTCACGCCACTCCCTCTTCACCCCCTTTGATTTGTTAGCAAATGGTACACTCCCGACCTGCATACAGAGAAGTTTTTACATGGGCAATCTTTCAGATAAAAAACAAATGCCAAGTTTTGGAGCTCTTCAACAAATGAACATGGTGGTACATCTGAAAACAGAGAGCACTGTGCAAGGAAAATTAGCTCTAGCACAGCAAGGTCGGTATCAATAATCAATCAACAAGCCGTTAAAAATGTGAAACCACCTTCTGGAGCTACTTAGAGATACTTTTTGAGTAGAATATAACCTGGGAGATTAGATATGAGCACTAACCAAGTTAAAACACTCGGATTTCTTATCCATTTCCTAAAGACTGTTAGCTACATAACATATAACAGTCATTCTTTGATTTTCTGTACCATTAAGATGCTGAACTTTACTAAGCACTCAAGTACTAGCATATAAGAATCCTTATATATCCTCATCAACCCTTCATATATGGTGTTATAAGCTAAAGAAATCATACTGTGCAAGGCTAAAGCATTTCAAAAATGATACTTTTCTACATACCTTCTGCTCCGGGATATAAACCTTCCCGATCTTGCCCTGTATTGCATCCTTCACGACATTTTTCTCCTGAACATCAAAAACCAAGAGGATCAGAAAATGAACCACTACATAATAAGCTTAAAGATTGCAGAAGGAAAGATAAGCCAGTAGCACCTTCTTCTTCGCCAGTTGAGGCGCCGTTTTCATTGCTTCTTTTCTCAGGCTGTCATCAGGATTGCGATGCCTTCTCACAACCATGTCCATGGCTGGCCCAACCTCGACTAACTCCATTCTTGGCACTGAAGTTCCTGATTTCTTGAGACAAAGTGCGCAGTGCGAGAAAAAAATTCTATTCGGAGACAAAGCTAAGCAGATGTACACACGGTCAACCCCAGCAAGGTTGAAGTTTGTGACAACCTAGTTATGTAAAATGATTCCACATTCATCACACAACATAACATAAAGGCAAGATATAGGAAAGGAAACAAAACAATTGTTGAAAGCATACCTCCCCACGGAAAAGATCCAGCAGAACTTCCTTCAAATGTTTCAACTCGTCCGAACTCTCGAATGCTTCCCCAATGAAGGCAAAAAAGGGTTTTGACCCGACCCGAGGAGCTATTTTCTTGTCATACGAGAATGAATCCATGCTTTTAAAATTTTCGATGCCGAGCTCGACAAGGTCATAGATATGGTGATCATAGGTTCGACCAAGCACGAGATTGTTTGGACGTTTCTTTGAGTGAGAACCGTACTGAGATAGGAGAAACAGGCAACATTGTTGTAAGGAAGAAATCTATTCTGGTATGGCCGTATGAGCAGAAAGTCAGTATCACAAAAGCAGACAAACAGGTTTTTGCACTCAATTTTCTTCATGGTAGAGGTTGAAACTCGAATCATTAGTAGAATGCAAGAAATCCAATTCCCCTTCGGGAGAGGAAGGGTAAAATTAGAAACTATGAGACAATTACTCAGAAAACTATGTGACACATTCAAATAACTAATAGCAGGGAAGCATAAGAAAACCCACAAAGCAGCAAGTTCAGAACATACCACAAAAAGGCTGCAATCAGTCTTAAGGGAAAAGAACTCCAAAGATGTTTCACCACCACTCTCAAAAGGTCTAATGTTATCATTTTTCCTTGAAAATTTGACAGCATTGTCCTTCTTCAAGTGATAGATCTCTGTCAACACTGAGTTCAAAACACTGCTTGTTTTAGTACCATGAAGAATCAGTGTCTTCTTCCCAGTTTCCACCTGAAATGATCATGATTCTTTTCATCAATAAAAACCATACAAATTACACACACACACATAAGAACTAAATAATCAGTGAAAAGATTGATCCATACAAGTTTCGGAGCACGTTTGTCGAGCTCTCGCCTGATTCTGCCCGGCTTGGGAGTCTTTATTCTCATCATATTGACCTAAAATTCAATCGCAGAAATGAAGAAGGTTAAAGCTTTGCACGGAGAGCTCGCAACCTAAGACTACTTTACAACTCTCTCGGTATTCTTATTCACTCCTACTGAAAGCATGGCCCAGATTCCAGAAATATGAGCAACACATTTACTAATTCTTGCCCAATTTTGATCCAAACCATACTTACAAATTCACCGTAAAAACTCAAGCGATTAATAATGAAGCAACACGAAGATTGACTCAGAGCAAAAGCTATTAAGACTAATATACGAGAAAAAGGAAAATGGATATAAAAGAACGGCAGGTAAATCCCTATTTAGCTTACTTATTGTAGACCTTACTTGTACTTTATGCACACTGGTGGTTCCGCCTCCGGAAAGTGCAAAGAAAGGCTGTTGGCAGGGACGAGATTGGTTTGGAAGTATGCTGTGCGGGAAGACGAGAGATAAACCCTAGCCCTCTTTGTAAAGCCCTATTCCCTAGACTAGGGGTGCATAAACTTTGGTTAACTAATCGAAACTGAAAATTCTAACAAAAATTTGATTCAGCTTTCGATTTTAATGATAACTAGTACGACATTTATATACTATACGATTGTTTGATAAAAAAGAATATAAGACATAAAATAATAAAAAAAATATATCTTATCGTATAAAGATAAATATAATTTATTATTGTTATAAAGATAAATATAATTTATTTCTAAGTAAGCTTCCGAAACGTGCGAGCCAATCATTTAGGCTCAACACGTTTTGAAATTATATTAAAGGGGATAAATATCTCTTATCCGTGCACTTTAAAAGCTGCAGTCTTTGCTCTCTTCAATTACATTGATCCTCTCTCCCTGGTTGTTGGCATGAGAGGTCTGTCGTGACCTAAGCACAATTCACTCACCCAACCTACTTAAACAACTTAAAGGCTTGGCCCCTCCCGTTTGGAGAATGAGCCCTTATGGCACGGCTTAGTCAGTTATTCTCGCAGTTCAGTCAAAGAGCTCAAAATACGGGCTTGTGAGACTTGACGCTACACTTTACTTCGCTTCGTTCGTTCTCTATCCTATTCTAAATAAGTAAATAGTGGGTCGATATATAATACCAAATTTAAAAGTAAGTTCCATAAAATATACTCACCCGAAACAATAGTTTCAATGCATTTGTTATTATATTTATGAAATTTATAACAATCAGATAAATGACACGCACGCATAAGTGTTATAGTGAAGGTATAAAATTAATTATAAATTAATAATTTGTATGAATACAAAATCAAAAAAAATATTTAAAAATATGAATTCGTGCACATTAAAATATACACTATTCATGAAAAAATGGCATGGACCTAGCAATATTCGTGCAAATAAATATTCATGAATAGTTGTTACAGTTCAATAAAATAGTCTTACTTTCTATATATAAATTATTTTAAAATATTTGTATGAATATTTTGAAAACATGGTAAAAATATTTTCATGGATGTTAAAATTGAATTTATTAACATGTTTGAAATTTTCACCATCCTTTTTATAACATTCTAATTTTATAAATAACTTTTTTTAATAATATTTTTGTGAATAATTTTGAAATATTTTATAATTGTCTTTATAAATCAATTTTTTTTTTGTACATAATAAACCAAGTTGTTGTAGTTATATTTTTATATGTAGGGTAAATTTATTAAAAAATAATATAACATTGACATTCTAGACCATCAAAATTATGAATATAGTTATTGTAGTATTTATTTAAAAAAATAAAATAATATTAAGCAATATGGATAGTAAAAATATATTATAATCTAAAATATATTATAATATTGGTATATGATTCTTAAGCCATGTAATTTGTGTGGTTCAATATGGATAGTTTCACACCAAAAGATTAAGCAAAAATATAGTATAATACTAAGCAAAATAATCCTATTTACAAAAATATAGTATAATACTAAGCAAAAGAATCCTATTTACACGGCATATAAGAATCCTATTTATTTTGGAGTTAGAGGGGATGCAAAAATAATTTTCATCCGAACCAAAAGCCGAAGCATGTAATATTGCCAAGTAAGCTTCCGAAGCGTGCGAGCCAGCCATTTAAGCTCAACACGTTTTGAAATTATATTAAGGGGGGATTACGACTCAATGCAATTTCTTATTCTTTTGGTAACAAACCAATATTCCATGAATTTCTACAATATCTTCAAAAAAGAGACTATTAAATAGATTTTGTTCGTATAAAATATCATTCGAATATGCATGATAAATTTCCAATATAATTGCACAATAAAAATTGAAATTCAATTACGGAACTTTTATTATGATATTTATCATAAGATTACAATAGGTTCTTATTCATCAACATTAATAACAAATCACTTGATTTATTATTGATACGATAATATATAAGCATATTCATATTAAAATGTGTTTAGTATAAAATAATCTAAAATAGTAATTGGTATGTTTATCCCTCATGAATTTAAAATATTAATGTTAAAATGAAAATAAGTAAATAATTATTTCTAGGATCATGTATATACGATATTAAGCCAAATGGTCATTTTCCAAACTATCATATTAAATTATTAGATTGTAAATAATCTAAATGTCTATAATTTTTATTTTTATAAATTATGATAAACCAATGAGTCATTTGTCGAACTGGCATGCAATTTATAAGTTTAGAAATAAAAATATGAATATTTATAATATGTGTTGTCACTAATTATGATGATAACTCGACGGATCACCAGTCGGACTATCCATATAAATATTAGCTTAGAATAAATATTTACAATGTATATTGTTAAAAGCAATAATGATAAACTAACAAGTGATCTATCAGACAACGATGTAAATTGTTAGATCAAAATATTTATAAAGTATATTATTATAAATTATAATGGTAAATCAGTCATTGTCGAAATGTCATATAAATTAATAGATATCGAAAATTAAAAACTAAATTGACAGTAATATAGATTATAAAAAAATATAATAAAATAATATTGACATAATTAAAAATTATTTAATTTTTTAATTTCAAAATAATATATATTGCAGTCTTTTCAATTGGTTATAATACTTGTCAAGATTTTTTAACTTTAATATAACTTATTGAAGAATCAAAATGGTATAATAACGTATGAGTAGAGCAGGAAAGAGAGAGAAGCATTACGTGACTATTATTAATTAATAATATTTAAATATGCTAAATTTCTATTATTCTTAATTCTAATTAAGAATTCTAAAATTACAGCTATTTTACAACGAGTGAAATAAATATATAATTCATATATTAAATTATTATACACCATAAAATAAAAGAAAAAAATTAATAATAATGTTTATATCTATTTCTATACTAATTAATATTTCTTCATTTGCGCTTTAATATATACAATATATAATTATTTCCCGGTGCAGATAGTATGATACTAACTCATCTATATCTATAAATCTATATAAATATAAAAAGGTTTGGTATTTATTTGAAATAGTAACTAAAATCCCGCTAAAAATTTTATGTTTACTTTTATTAGTAACTTTTTAAAATATTATAAAAAAAATGACTGCTAATCATTTGAAATTCAAATTAAAAAAAAAAAATCATTGTAATTCAGGTAACAAAATCAGCTAACTCGCTTACAGATATTGTTAAAATGGAACAAAATTATAACATTAGATAAATCCGTGCATGATGGAAATTTGTTTTCAAGAAGATATAATAAAATTAGATTTATAGAATACCTCAAGCACGTAATATATATATATATATATATATATATGTTATTATATTAAAAATTGATAGTTGGAATAAGAATATTTGCAACATATAAGAAGTAAGTTTTAGAGCTGTTTCAATATATATTATTACAACTGAAATGAAGTAATTTCGTGTATTGTATGTCTTTGATTTTCTCATAATTTTTTATAGCTTGTATAGTCTGCACAATATTTTATACGTAATCTACATAATCTTTATCATCAGTATGTCACACATCTTTATTTGTCGATATATAAATTTGATCAGCAAAATCTACACCTAATATTATTATTTGTATGATTATTAAGGGATGTTTGGATATAATATTTTTTATTTTGATTGAATTTTTTGGCTTCATTCGATTTTGTTAAATTTGAAAAATGTGGTATATTAATTGTTAGTGGGATTTTGAGTTTATATTAAAATAATATTTAAAATAAAATAATTAAAGTTGATTTGATATAAAAGTAGGAAATAGATGATGAAAATTGATACTTAGTTAAAATTATATGAGTGGATGAAATAAATTAATATTGATGTAATGTGTAAAAATAATTGGTTGATATTCTTTAATTATATTGACAATATTGAGGATAGTGAAGTTGAATTAAAGTTAAGCTAGACTTTAAGATTTGTATCTTAAAATAGAAATTAAAATCCCACCTAAAAATTTTAAAATTAATAAAGTTTGTAATCATTTTTTTTTTTTAAACCCCGCCTCTAGAAATTAATTAATCAATTTATGGTATAAAGTTGACAAAATTAATAAATAAGAGTCTTGGTATAAAGTGGATGATTTTATTTGAGGTATCTGATCACTATTTTTATTTTTGGTAGGAAATGTATTGTTATTAATAAATGTTCGAATTCATGGAATAAAGAGGCGATTTTATTTTGGTATGAATGTCCGAAAATGGTACAAATTTTATTAGTATAGACAGAAGTGTATTTGAAAATTTTGAAAACAAAATAAGTAGTATGAATTTATTTGGTATGGATATAAAAGTCAAATTTTAGGTTCATTTGTTATAAAATCAAGTGATATAATTCTCAAATTTTAGTATATTCCCATAATAATTTGTCGTGAGATATTGATGATAATTCGACAAATTGATATGTATTTCTCTTGAAAATAAAAAAGATCTTTGAACAAATATTGGTTAATAAATATAAAATTTGTAATTTGATTATAGAGAATTAGTTGATAAATTTGAACGATAAGATAGACGACAAAAAATCTAGAAAATTGCGAGATAATATATATATATATATATATATATATATATATATATATATGACTTGGTTCTCATTTTGAACCACATCATATATATATATATATATATATATATAGGGGCTGGTTCAAATAAAAACTAATCCTGGTGTGAGGATCGTGAGAACCATATTTGATGCTATTTTTAATTGTATATAATGCTACTTTTAATATTTCATGATGCTATCATTTTCACAAATGTCTATATAAATTGTGTTGCTATTTTTAATAAAATATATCCTGTTTAAAAATAGCAATAAAACACAACCAATCATAGTAATTCATATAATTAAAAATAGCGGTTCTCACGGTTCTCACGCTATGACTTAGTTCTCATTTGAACCACATCCTATATATATATATATACATGATGGAATATATATATGATATATGAGAGAATTTATTGTGTAGTCCAACTTTCGGTTCTGAATTTAAAAGTTAATTAAGTAATTATTCATAACTTATGGGTTAATATTAATTTGGACCTAAAAAGAGTAGTCAATTATTTATAG